TCTAATCCTCATGATAACCCTCATGAAATCCCTTTTCCTTTTTTATTATTATTATTTTCGCTTTTTAAAATCATTTACTTACTTACTTAAAGGCAGAGTTACAAACACAGAGGTCCTCCATCTGCGGATTCACTCCTCAAATGGCTAAGTAGTTAGACCTGGGCTGGTTGGAAACAAGGAGCCAAGAGTCTTCTGAGACTCCCCTGTGGGACAGGGGCCAAGGACTTGGGTTGTCTTCCACTAGTCTTCCAGGTATATCAGCAGGAAACTGGATTGCAAGTAGGGCAGCTGGGACTCGAACCAGTGCCCACATGGGATGCTAGCACCACAGGCAACAGTTTTATCTTCTCTGCCAAAATGGCAGCCTTAAAATGCCCTTTCTATAGGTTAGATTCAAGGTCATAAAACAAGCTGTTGCTGTGCTCAAAACCAGACCAGGCCAACCTGTCTTTCTGTTCTATATGCCAAGAGCTAAAATATGGAGCTCCAAGGACATCAATGCTTTGCCCAATCCAAGGTCCTGGCTGCTGCTCCCTCCTGGTAACAGCTGGCACAGGGGTCTCCTGGGCATCTTCCTAAGTTCCTACATGGTAGAAGGTAAAGAAACACTTTAATATGGAGTTCTATTTAAAGTTAGTGATAAATTTTGTATTTTGAAAAAATTATCTATTTATTGGAAAGGCAGGGTGAGAGAGAGAGAGTGAAAAGGAGAGAGAGAGTTCTCCAATGCTCACGACAGCAAGATCCGGGCTGCTGAAGCCAGGACTCAGGAACCATCATCTGTTGCCTCCCAGGTGAAATTACTGGAAGCTAATTCCAAAATGAAAGAGCTGGGACTCTGCCATGGGATGTGGGTGTGCCAAGTGGAGCACCAACCTAGTGTGCCACAACACCTGACTTCAGCACAAAACATTTCAGCTCTTTTTTTCCCAGTCCTAGTTATGGTGCACATGTGCTCAAGTCCAAGAACTGCATCACATACAACGACTCCTGCAAGTGGCACAGAAATGGCGTCAAGAAACCCCAGCCTCTGTAATTCCAGTTTTAGTAGATTTTCACTTCTCAGAAATTAGCAAGGATGCTGGAAATTCCTCGCCAGTAGCTCCCATAATGACAAAGGAGGTTGAGAGACCTGGCATGGCTCTCAACCAGCTCTGCATAGAAGTAAGGATTGCTCTAGTTGTCACTGTCCCCACCCTGACCCTGGCCGAGAGCCATGTGGTGTGTTTTAGGCACAGTGATGCTACAACTGCTGTTTGAATGTTGTATAAAGCATAGGCCTGTTTTTTTTTTAATTATTTCAATTTTTGGTGATTTTTACATTAGGGTGATTAAGGTCAAAGGGTACAGGAAGGTGGGTGAGATCACCATTTCCACATTCTCTTTTTCTCCTTCCTGTATCTGGGGGAAGCGGGGAGACAAGGAGAGAAGCCACACCCAGCGTACCAAATGCCTCTGCACCCTGGGATGGAGGACAACCACCTGACAAGGACCCCAATGTGGAGCATGCTCCAAGGGTCTTGCTCATGAGTTTTTGATAGTTCAACAGTTCTGAATTACTGCCGCTCCAAGCACGATGAAATCTCTCCAGAATCTACTGATTGACATAGTCCATTTAGAGTCTCCATTCGTCCAGCTAGTCACTGCCAACACTTGGCCAGGGTAGTTGATTGATTTGTTCTGATCTGCATCCTTGGTTGTGGTACCAGGTGTCCTCTGCAGACTCCAATATATTGCCACGTCCTGCATGTGCACCTGGATAGCAGAGGCCTGTTAAATGGTGTCTTGGTATCAGCTTCGTAATGGTACTTCTCAATTGTGAGAACTGAAGCAACGTACCTTTTAGAACAGTGGTTCTCAAGCTTCAGTGTGCTCTCAATGACTGGGGAACCTTCTGGGCCCAGATATGGAGAAGGGTCTAGAAATATGCATGTTTTCTGCACCTCTGCCCTTACTCTGAGTATTATGGTCTTCAGAACAGACTTCCAGAAAGGCAGTGCCAAGGGCCTGTGGCCAGCTACTCCCCAGGTTAGAGCCAACAGCCAGAGCCTTTCAGCAGTAACAGCAGCAGAGAGGAAAGAGTTGCTTCTGAATTTTTCTGATCTTCTCTTCATCTGTGTTTTCACTATGCAGGATGCTGGGAGATTACCTGTACCTTATTCCAGGACCAGTACTCACAAGTATTCACAGTATTCCTGAGAGAGGAAGAACTGGACAGACTTCAGGGCCTGGGAATGACTTCAGCCCTCTGAACTTTGACATGGGGAAAGAGCATGCTGGAGAGAGGAGTGAGTGAAAGTACCCAAATATTATGGGGGCAGTTGGGGGACTGAGAAATAAAACTGTGTTAAGAGAACTATAGCTGAGCTCTCCCATCACCATCTAAAGCATCTAAACAAGGGATGTCAGGTGATCTAATTGGATTTCAAATTTCCCAGTCTCTTGGGTTGGCCAAGGGCCACTTTACTGTTGTGCCTTCAGCCAACTGAGATATGTGAGGAAGCCTCAAAAAGTTCACAGAGAATGGGATTGAAAGATAAGTTTATTTTGTTGCAAAAATTTTACAGTCCACAATTTTTTTTTTCATTATGTGTATTTTCCATGAACTTTTTGAATACTCATCCTGGACATCCTCCAAAGAGATCCAAGAGTCAAATAAGAGGTCAGGAAATGGAATGACTCATTGCCTAGTGTGATCAGCTTACACTGTGTGCAGGTGTTGAAATATCGCATTGGACCCTCATTAAAATGCCCACATATGATATAGCAATCCAAAATTTAAAAAATAAATGGAAAAGAATGTTAAAAAAAATTGAGGTTTGAAAAATAATCAAACTCCATGGTGTTTTAAAGTCAAATAAATCTTTAAAAAAGAAGTCCAAGAAAGCCTCGCTGTTACACACAAGTACACCACTGTTGTTTCTGAGTTTAAACATTAAGGAACAAGTTTCATTAATGATTAAAACGGTAGTGATTGATTTAGGGAGCTCGGTGAACATTTAATCTGTCCTCACTTGGTGCTATAGGAGCATACTGCCTGATGCCCCAGGAGAGGCATTAAGTAACTATTTAATGGAGTTTTAATTTTGTGTTGTTATTTTTAATAATTAATTGTAATTTTGCTGAAGTTGGAAGCTGGTGGTGTGTTTCCAGCCATCCTTTCAGGGTGTTATTGCTCTGCCCTGGTTAATTACAGGTTCTTAAGGAGGAGGTGGGCTCGGCTGTGATGTAGAATCAAAGAAGGTGCATGTTTACTAAAATGACAATAAAATAATCAAATCACTTTCAAATTGAAAGGGAACATGGAGCTTAATTATCCTGCCCCATCTTTACCTTGCTACACATGAGAGAACTTGGGAAGCTGTAAGATTGGAAGGTCTTGCCCAAAGCCCCACACGGGGCTCCTCTCTGCTGTTTGATGCATTTTGGGATGCAAGGGAAAAAGAAAAAAAGCCGTCCCTGGACCTGGAAGACGCGGCGGGAGGCCGGGGCCTTTCTCTGGCGCGTGTTGCTCTGATCTCATGTGGTTCCTACCCTCTGTAATCTGTGTTTCCCCCGGAACACAGGAAGTAGTTCCTGTTTTCTAAATATCGAAGGTGCGCAAATCTGACAGTTCTACAGACCCGCTACCCTGGGCCTGGCCCTGTTTCCCTGCAAAAGGTAAGTACTTGGGGGGAAGGTGAAGTGTGAGGTCCATCCCAGGGAGAGCGGGCCAGGAGTGGAAATGGTCCTCCTCCAAGCCTTTCCTGGCTTTACGGTTGCCAGCCTTCCGGCTTGCCAGCCTGCCAGCCTCAACCCTGCCCGGCAGCACTGAGCTCAACGCTGGGATTTTGCTTTGCGGGCTCTGGGGAAGTCGCTGTAACCTGGCTGTCCTTCCCCTCCTTGTTTGGCAAACAGAGATGGGCTTGACAGATAGCTCTCTCCCAGCTCGCCAGAGGCAGCCTCTGAAGGGAGTGCCTGTTTGGGGGAGGTTTAAGAGCCACCACGCATTCCGCCTCTCTGCTAATATGATCATTATCGCTTTTTTTTTTTTTTTTAATAGAAGGGGGTACCAATTCTCCCCACTCCTTTCTTCCAAAATTGGGCCAAAGGGCATCTTCTCTGGTTCTCCTGTGGCCCGGGAGGCTGCTGCTTTCTGGGGTTTTTACCTCCTTGGCAGGTCAGATCCCCATGGGTAAAGGAGTCTTGGGGCAGCACATACAGTGACAGGAGAAATAACCGCGGGGCCCGCGGTTCCGAGGCCTTCCCAGCCAAGTACACTTTCCTGTCTGTGAAAACAAGGACCCTGCCTGCTCAGTTCAGAGAGGGGAGGCCGCGGGGAAGACCATAGGCTTAGAAGGAGGCTTGTTCTTCTGAAGGTCCTCCCCATGACCCTGCAAAGAAAGCACCCCCAAACCGTGTTTGGGAAGAAAGTGGCCTTTTCATAGCGCGGGAACCACGTCCTTCGGGCGTACAGCCCTCTGCACAGCCTGTTTCTCAGCGTTTGGAAATCCTTAAACAGTTTATGGAAGGCCACCCTCTTAACCAATCCCAACAGCTCCTTTCTCCATAACCTGATTTTAGAGGTGTTTCATTATCTCTAATTACTCAGGGTAAATGGTGATTACTCAGTGTTTTAATCATCAGTTTGGGCAGCAGTTACTCTAAACTCAGGGAAGCCCAGACTCCATGGGTATTTTTGGAAGGCCCGGCGACTAGTCGGTGCATGCTTTCTAGTACCTCTGCACGTGGTCCCCAGGTGAGCCCCGGGCCGCTTCCCGGAGCGGGAGGCGGCGGCGGCCCAACACCGGCGGCATCTGCGGGGCCGGGCGCTGCGCGGGCTTCCGGGACCCGGGCCTGCGAGGCGAAGCCTCGCGGCTGCAGGGGAGGATGTGGGCGGGGCTGCCATCCCCAGAAAGGGAACGAGCCTGGGAGGAGGGGTGAAGGGAGGGGCCGCCAGGGAAGAGGAGGAGGAGGAAAGAAAGAAAGAGAGGGAGGGAAAAAAGAGAAGGACGCAGTAGATGCGCGAGGGCAGAGGCGGCGGAGGCAGGGAGCACCGAGCCCGGCCCAAAAGCTAGGTGAGTTCTGCATCCGAACCGAGGCGCAGGGAGCCCGAGACGCCGCCGCTGCGGGGCCTGACCGTCTCGCCTGTCTCCCCTGATGGGATTCCCGTCCGAGCCGTCTCGAGCCTGCAGCACCCCAGCGCCCCGGCCCTTGCCCAGGTTCACCGCAGCCGTTCCGAGGTCCCCAGGAGCTGCCGCTGGCGAGCCCGCTACTGGAGGGACCGATGGTGAGCATGGCTACCTGGCCACGGGCACCACGCCGAGGCGCATCGGTTGGGGTACAGGTCGGGGGACCCAGGCAGTAAGGGAGGCAAAAGGTGGTGTGTATTTTCTCCAATGATGGTAGAGCTGGAGGTGGAGATGCGTGGGGAGACTTGGCATGTCTGTGCTGCCTCGATGCAGGCACCGGACGACTTGGACCTTGGGGAGGTGCGGGGCTGGAGAGGCGGGAAGAAGAGCGATGCCTTGGTGATGGTGGTGGTCGCTGTGGTCAGTAGCAAAGACCATCGGGGTCGGGAGTTGAACGCGTTCTTGTGGGCTGGAGGTTGTGATCGCCAATCACCAGACGCGAGCCGCCAGCAAAAGGAGTCCCCGAGAGCGAGAGGGGACGGAGGGTGGCGGAGTGGGGACAGCACCCCAGGCGGACTGGCTGCAAGGTGGGGAGCGCAGCCGGGTTGCGGTCTAGAACGCGCGCGCAGCTGGAGGGACAGCCTCTGTGTCACTGAGCGGAGCGCCAGCGGGCCGTGCTCCCCTAGAGCTTGCCAAGGGCAGAGGCTGGACGCTCCGTCTCCACGAGGTCTCTTTGGGGACTTGGGCACCCGAGGAGCCTCGTCTCCATTCTTTCAAGGTACCGAGGAAGGTGAGACGTCGACTGATGTGCCAGGGGGTTCCCCTGCACGGGTCTTCCTGTGGTGTCGTGCTGTGTGTGTGTGTGTTATGGGGGGGGGGGGGGGGGCGGTTAGATAGGGGGAGCTGGCGGGACGCAGCAGTGGACGCGCGGCTTTTCTGGTCCTTAACGTCCGGGACCAATAAGTATAAAAGGCCCTGGGGTAGGCCGGGTCCCTGCGGACCTCTGTCCTCGGAAGTTGTGCCCTGGGCGGCGAGACGGCCCCAGTTTGCAAGGGTCAAGTTCTAGGAAGGAACTCAAGGCACAGAGACGGGACGTCCAAAACCGTAAAGACACACACTGGGTAAACCTCAGTCAGTAACTCGAGGCGTCGGAAGATTGGGTAGTTAAGCGAAGGACTGCCGCAACGAACCACCTTCCCGCTCTCCAAGAAAAAAAAAAGTCCTGAAGATGAAAAGACCGTTTGCCTTTTGGTATCTTTTTAATTTAAAACTTTGGAGAGAAAAAAGTGTTTAGAGATGAATCGCAGCTAATCCGAAATAGAAATTTAATCCTCTCCTTCCCCAAACCCAGGGTTTCGGCGCAGAGACAGCGCCTGCACCCCTGGGAGATTCTCGCCTGGGGTCTCCCTGATCCCTGCATCCCTGATCCATCGTCGCTTTGCGGAGGCCACCGGCCCCTCTTCGTCGGCGTCCCTCCCCCGTTTCTAGATCTCCCCTTTAGGATTCTAGGTCCCTCTGCTCTCTCCAGCCCTCTCATGGTCCGCCCCGGCAGTGGCGCGGGACACGGCACGGCAAAAGTCGCTCCAAGAGCTACGCGGCTGGTGGGGCGCGGACGGTCGCGCAGGGGCGCCCGCGGCCTCTGCACTCCGACCCGCGGGGCGGGCGGCGCCGGCAGCGGCTGCCAGGAAGGACGGCTGCGCTGCTCCAGCCTTCACTCTTCTTCCCCTAGAGCTTTTTTCCAAGTGTCCCTAAGAGGGAAAAAAATCAAGTTGGGGGCGGGGGCGAGAGTGTCGGGAGTGGACCACCTATGCGTCCCCAGAGGAGGACCCCGGAACAGGGTGCGAGTGGAATGTGTTTCGGGTGCGGGTGGGGTGGTCGAGTCCCCGGGGCACCCTGTTCGCGGGTCCCGGCTTTGCAAAGGCAAGGTGGTGCGGGGGTCCGGATTTTGGACAGGCCCTTGCTCTGAGCCGTCCGCGCGGGTCCGGACGTCCCAGTCACTGCTGGAGCTGTAACCGGTCAAATCCTTAATTGCTGCGCCTCCGCAACTCGTGCAGCGGAAGAAGAGGGTGGGAGAAGGAGTTGGCGGGTAGGTGGGGTCCGGGGTGGGGGGAGTGCAGAGGTTGGAAAGAGAGGGAGGGAGGGAGAGAAGAACAGAAGGAGGGAAAGAGCGAGCGAGCGAGCGCTCCTGCCGAAAGTCGGTCACAGTCTTCTCCAGTCTTGGGAACCCAGTGGGATTTCCTTTCTGCGCCGGGAGTGGTTGTGAAAACCGGCGAAGTGTGATGCGCCCTTCAGCGACGTGAGCCCCAGCGCCCGCCGAGCGGCTCGGTTGGGAGGAGGGGGGAACGGGGGCGGTTTGAGCGTTCTCCGTAATGGAGCCGTAGAAATTACTCTAGCAGCCGCTCTCTCTCACTTTCTCACACCGGGAACCGCTTACACCCCCGCCGCCGGCCGCACGACTGAAAGGCTCGGTCCGCCGCCAGGTCGTCCGAACGCTCGCAACAAATCGCCGGGGCCGGAGGGGGTGGTGTGTGTGTGTGTGTGTGTGTGTGTGTTTGCGAGGGTGTGTGTGTGTGTGTGTGTGTGTGTGTGTGTGTGTGTGTGTGTGTGTGTGTTTGCGAGGGGTGGGAATACTTGGCCACGCCGAGTGCGTGCGTGTGCGGAGTCCGTCTCCCCGCTTCCCCGTATCAAGTGCTCCTCGGTTGTTGATGCTAGGGGTGGTGAAAACTCGCCCACACTGCAGCGAGGCTGGAGCCGCAAAGAGCAGCCCCCTACTTGCGTGCGGTGGACCCTGTGGCTAACAGTGTCGCTTCGCTGCAACACTGGCCCGGTCTTCCGCACCACGGGGAAGAGGCGAGGACACGGTCCTCCGAGCGCGGGCGCCGCCGCCCGAGGAGCGCGCTGCCGGGGCACCGGCCGGGCTTTCCACTGAGCGACGCCGTCGGGAGTTCCTTCCCGGCCGCTGCCGAGGCTTGGGCGGCCGGCGCGGAGGCTGGCCCGGCCTGGCCCGAAGGGGCGGGACGGAGCGGGGGCGGCGGGTGGAGGAGGAGGAGCGGGCGGGCGGGGCATTGGCGTTCACGTGATTCCAAGGGGCTGGAAGAAAAACAGAGGTTGTCTGCGCTGGAGTCTCATTATATTCAAATATTCATTTTAGGAGCCATTCCGTAGTGCCATCCCGAGCAGCGCGCGGCCGCAGCTTCTCTGAGCCTTTCCAGCAAGCCTGTTCAAGATTGGCTGTCAAGAATCATGGACTGTTATTATATGCCTTGTTTTCTGTCAGTGAGTAGACACCTCTTGCTTGCCCTCTCCCGAGAACCCACCGCCTCCCGCCCCTCCGGTCGCACCTCCCTTCCAGCCCTGGGTGCGCCGACCCCACTGGTGCCTTTTAACAAGTGTGGCTGCTTCCCCAGCCATCCTTGGATCGGGAGCCGAGCAGGACAGGGCAGCTGGGGGCGGCTCAGAGACCGGAGGTCCCCTGCCCCGGGTGGTCCCGTGCTCCGCACCCCCGGTTCTTGCACCGCTTGCCCGCGGGGCGGGAGCGTTCTTCAGCTTCCCGAGGCGCGTTCCCCGCCTCTTGTCAAAACTCCGGGAGTTCGCTTGGGCTCCGTCTCCCAGCCCTTTCCGCGGGAGTGAGCTTGCCAACCGCACCACGCTCTCTCGCTCTGCTGGGTGTCTCACACTCTTGGGCTCACGCGACAAATCCAGCCTTGGGGCCACCCGGGCAGCCCAGACCCCCTCCTGGGCCCCCGGACTGGTGCTGCCCGCCCTGCGCCAGGGCCCCCCTCCCCACCCCCGCACGCATCAGTCCTACCCCCGCGGCTCTGCCTCCCCTCCCTGCCGCTCCCAACCAGCTGGAAATTGTGGAAGTCGGGCTCGGAGGGCGGAGGGAGGTGGGAGTGGAGGAAGAGGGGGAGAGGCTGAAGGTCCGAAGGGGAGCGGGGTGGCATTTTCTTCCTCCTCCGCTGCCCCCTCCTCACCTCCATGTTAACTGTTTATCCCCGAAGAAGCCACGTTGAGATCATGGCCCAGATAGCAGTTGGGACAAAAAAAGATTAACAGGATGGAGGCTATCTGATTTGGGGTTATTTGACTGTAAACAAGTTAGACCAAGTAATTACAGGGCAATTTTTACTTTCGGGCCGTGCTTTGCAGCAGCTGCTGAGGAAGGGGGTGGGGGTGGCCTGAGGGAGAATACGCGGTGAGGTCTTTCTGGACCGGCTTTACATCCCACCCCTCCAGTGCTCGCCCTGGATGCAAATGCAGATACCTCTCTTACTTCTCTCTATTTACTCGTGTTTATTTATTCTTTAACCTTCCAACCCCCTCCCCCTTCCCCAGAGACACCATGATTCCTGGTAACCGAATGCTGATGGTCGTTTTATTATGCCAAGTCCTGCTAGGAGGCGCGAGCCATGCTAGTTTGATACCTGAGACGGGGAAGAAAAAAGTCGCCGAGATTCAGGGCCACGCGGGAGGACGCCGCTCAGGGCAGAGCCATGAGCTCCTGCGGGACTTCGAGGCGACGCTGCTGCAGATGTTCGGGCTGCGCCGCCGGCCGCAGCCTAGCAAGAGCGCCGTCATCCCGGATTACATGCGGGATCTTTACCGGCTCCAGTCTGGGGAGGAGGAGGAGGAAGAGCAGCTCCACAGCTCTGACCTGGAGTATCCTGAGCGGCCCGCCAGCCGGGCCAACACCGTGAGGAGCTTCCACCACGAAGGTCAGCCCCTGCTCCCCCCGCCCCCCACAGTCTGGACAAGGGGGAGAACGTGGAGGGGGAGCCCGGGAGGGCTGGCTGGAGGGGCCTGGACACCCTGGGGAAGAGTTCAGGTTACATCAAAGCCCCAACCCAGGGAGGCTGCCGACCTCCAAGAATTTCCAGAGCTGCTGCTGAACTGATTTGGGGGAGTTGGGGAGGGGAGGAGACTGTCCCCACGGGTCCCAGCTGGGGTGGGTTTGCCATATCAGAACCTTTTCTGCCACCAGCACCACCATCACCATCACCACTTCCCCCCCCTTTTTTTTTTACTCCAAAGCACCTACCAAATTTAATATTACAGCTGTGTGTTAGTCAGGTTTATTCAATAGGGGCCTTGTAATCTGATCTGAATGTTTCCTAGCGGATGTTTCTTTTCCAAAGTAAATCTGAGTTATGAATCCACCAGCATCATTACTGTGTTGGAATTTATTCTCCCCCTTTCCTCCCCATAACATGATCAACAAGGCATGCTCTGTATTTTCAAGATTGCTGGAGAAATGTTTAGTAACATACTCGAAAGAGGAAAAGGGAGAGGGTGGTTGTGTGCCTGGTTCCTTGGGCCTGAGCTCTGTGCACCACCACTGCCCCCCGCCCCCCACCCCAGTTTTGCTCTACAGCCACATGTAAGGAAAACTGTGTGCATTAAAGCCAAAAGGGGCTTTTAAAAGAGGAGTTATAGGGTGATGGGAAAAAGCAATGGGTGCATGGGAAGTGTTGGGCATCACTGGGGGAGGCTGGGAGACGCTTTGCCTTAGGTGTGAGATAGACATTAGCTGGGCCTTTTTAGCTCCTCAGCGTCCCATTTTTGCTTGCTTCTTCAAACCCTCCTCATCCCCCAATCACCACAGGCTTCCAGTTTCTAAGCCACCTGTAACACCCTACTCCTTGGCTACTTCTTGGCTGTTCCATCTCAAGAATGTTCATGTGTTCTCTGTTTTCCCCTTCCCTCCTCCATCATGCTCAGAACATCTGGAGAACATCCCAGGGACCAGCGAAAACTCTGCTTTCCGTTTCCTCTTTAACCTCAGCAGCATCCCGGAGAACGAGGCCATCTCCTCTGCAGAGCTGCGGCTCTTCCGGGAGCAGGTGGAACAGGGCCCTGACTGGGAGCGGGGCTTCCACCGGATAAACATTTATGAGGTTATGAAGCCCCCAGCAGAAGCGGTGCCCGGGCACCTCATCACACGACTACTGGACACAAGACTGGTCCACCACAATGTGACACGGTGGGAAACTTTTGATGTGAGCCCTGCAGTCCTTCGGTGGACCCGGGAGAAGCAGCCCAACTATGGGCTGGCCATTGAGGTGACTCACCTCCATCAGACACGGACCCACCAGGGCCAGCATGTCAGGATTAGCCGATCGTTACCTCAAGGGAGTGGGGATTGGGCCCAGCTCCGGCCACTCCTGGTCACCTTTGGCCACGATGGCCGGGGCCATGCCTTGACCCGACGCCGGAGGGCCAAGCGGAGCCCAAAGCATCACCCGCAAAGGGCCCGGAAGAAGAATAAAAACTGCCGGCGCCACTCACTCTATGTGGACTTCAGTGACGTGGGCTGGAATGACTGGATTGTGGCCCCTCCGGGCTACCAGGCCTTCTACTGCCACGGGGACTGCCCCTTCCCACTGGCGGACCACCTCAACTCCACCAACCACGCCATTGTGCAGACCTTGGTCAACTCGGTCAATTCCAGCATCCCCAAAGCCTGTTGTGTGCCCACTGAGTTGAGTGCCATCTCCATGCTGTACCTGGATGAGTATGACAAGGTGGTACTGAAAAATTACCAGGAGATGGTAGTGGAGGGGTGTGGGTGCCGCTGAGGCCGGCAGCCCTTGAGGGCGGACAGAGACACACGTTCCCATCCAGTTCACCCACACACTACACAGACTGCTTCCTTATAGCTGGACTTTTTATCTTTGAAAAAAGAAAAAAGGAAAAAAAAAAAACTAAACATTCACCTTGACCTTATTTATGACTTTACGTGCAAATGTTTTGACCATATTGATCATATATTTTGACAAAATATATTTATAACTACGTATTAAAAGAAAAAAATAAAATGAGTCATTATTTTAAAGGTAAACCCTGGCCTTCTTCATCCTCATCCTTTTTTTCTTTTCCTTTCTTCTGCTCCATCTCTTTGGGATGTGTTTCTGTGATTTGTTTCTTTGTTTTTGTGCTATTGAGTGGGTGCAGTCCGGGTGGTCAGTGAAGGTGGTTAAATTATGGGGACAGGAAGTCAGTGCATGGCCTAGAGAGATGGTAATTGCCAGGATGAATTGTTTTGCGTTTCTAGTTCATGTTCACAAGGACGCAGCATCTTCTCCCATCTGGATGACACATGCCTTGGGGACACAGTGGGATGAAAGGACCAGGTCAGATGACTCAGTGTGGGGCTCCTGGTACATCTCCTGGCTTGTTTTTTTTTTTCCCACCTGTTAGAGGTGTGTCTGGGCTGAGTGTGTTGGAGATGTTTTACCTCTAGGAAAATGATTCTCGCCTTGATGATACCTCCAGTGTCTCTGGTTCTTAAGACGCCGTAGTAGTTTCCAGGCAGAACTACTCTGTATGCCTTACATGTACGTGTGGGCCTTTCTGAACAAGAGGGGTTTGGGTCTTTGGTTCTTTCTCAGAGAAGGAAGTTTTACCCAGTAAAATAGACAATAGGCCCTGCCTTTGGAAAGCTGTTGGACCACTACTTTAATACACTGTGTGGAAATATCCAGTGTTTCTTTGACATTTTTTTCCATGTCTCCTGTTGCTCACACAAAAGCCTTTGTCCAGTGCAGAATCCCCACAGGCTTCAAGCTGGGGAGGGAGTTGAAAAGCAAGACCAAGAGTGGAGGCCTGGGTTTGTGAGCAGGCACTGAGTGCTTCACCCTTGGGATCTCGGGGGTCCAGCCCTGCCCCTGGCTCCCTTTCCCCAAGCTGAGCAGAAGTTGATTGGTTTGTGTGATCTGATGTTCTGAGCTGGGCTTATTTCAAGGAGGAAGCTCACTGCTTGATCACAGTGTAAAAGGACAATGCTAAGGGGGGGGGGGCGGTGGGGGAGAGCAAACTCTATTAATGGCAGTCAGCAGGTAGAAAAATGGTATTCTGGAACAGCATGGTGTCAGGTTCTGGGCCAAAGAGCAGGCCTTTGCTTTTTCTTCATTGCCACCAGCTAGCTGCTAGGTGAGGTCTCCAAGTTTAGGCATGGTCAGGCTCAATTCTCAAGTGTGTGTTGCCTCTGGATGGGTCTGGTGGTCTACCTGTGGGCAGAGGGCTGTCAGGAAAGTACTTCTCCAAGCTACAGGTGGAGAGAGAAGAATGGCAGTGCTGCCGCCGAGGAGTCCAGAGCGAGGTGCGTGGCGTGCTGTTCTCCTGTGTGTATTGTAGTCATACTCTGGCACATGCTCTTGGGGGTGAGGTGGTGGGGGGAAACAGGCTTCATTTTTGTTTTTAATTACTGAAGTCCTACAATGGCTCCAAAACGAGCAGCTTAGTGGAAACCAATAAAAATAGAAGGGAGGCCCTTGCCAAAGCCCCAGCTCCCTGGAGAGCACAGGTGGAGAGAGAAGAGAGCCAGGCCAAGGCGGCAAGGCTCCACCACAGCTCTCCAAAAACTCCTCACCCCCACGTCACTGCCCCTGGGATGCATGGTATGAACTAGGAGAAAGCAGCCTTGGGTTCCCCCCAGGATGTCTGGTCTTGGGGTGCTCCATTTCCAGCAACTTTCAGAAATGTCCTTTTCATTAAGAAAGAAACCCGAGATCCCTACCACTTGAGCCAATGACCCCCTGAGGCCAGTGCTGGACCCAGTGGCCCCCTGTGCCTACTCAGGTCATTTCCTAGAAACTCTCCCTCCTGCCCGCCTCCACATCACCACCACCACCCCACCCCCTCACTACTGGCGTATTTTCAGGAATGGATAATGTTGTTTATTTGTTCAGCCAAATATTTGGTCTGGGGAATTTACCGTGAAATTCTGTGAATTGCATATACCTAGTTAACAAAATAGACCTAATGCCACAAATGTTACTGGGAAAAACAACGACCTACGGGCCAGTATTAACTCTTCACACTCCCTTGGTCTTGAGGCCCGAGGAGATAAGGAATTGGATGGGAGTGGAGAGGACTTCATTTAGATCCCCAGAAGTTTCTGGTTTGGCTCAGCCTGGTACCCATGGCAGCTGCAGGTGGAGGAAGGGGTTGCCGGCGTTGCTTTGGAACCAAGCCTGCCCCTTCCCCGCCCCCCCCCCCCATCCCAGTAAAGCTCCCATTGCTTAAATGAAGATGGAGCCCTTGAGAAGTTCAGCAGTCATAAACCACATCAGAGGCGCTGCTGGATCCATCCCTGCCCAACCCTTCAACTCCAACAGGCTTCCGAGGAGCTTAAGACCAGAAAGAAAAAGTGGGGGTGAGGGAGTAGGGGGAGGCTGGGGCCGCATGAAACATTCCCCTGCTTTCGTTGCATAATGCGCGCAGAACCTGCCAGGTGACCTGCTGACTTTGTTTTCCGTCTTGACCGTGCGGCGCTCCCGCCCCCACCCGCGGCCGCCGGGCAGCGCCACACTGCGAGGGCTCCGCGCGGCCCCGGCGCTGGCCAACCCCGGCCAACCCCGGCCAGCCCCCGGCCTTGGCCGCGCGTCAAGCCCGGCCCCGCGGGTCCGCCTCCGGCCCGGGGCCGGCGCGCACGGGCCCGGCGGCCACGGGGGCAGCAGGGGGCGTCCCGAGCGCCGGCGGCCCGCAGGCTCCTGCACCTGGCGGCGGCGCGTGGAGCCGTCCTGCCCCCCACGGGAGGGCTGAGCGTCCGCGGAGACCGGGGCGCAGGCGAAGCTCGGCATAGGCCGACGGCGGGCCGGGTTGGCGCACGCGGGGCTGGGGGCGGGGGCAGAGGGGTCGCCGGCTCGTGAGGTGGAAGCACCTGGGAGCCAGGCTGAGGTTGGCGGGCGGGGGGTGGTCTGGCAATCCCAGCTCCCAGGGGGATGACCGAAAGCCGTGCAGGACGGGGGTACCCTGGTGGGCTGTACCCTGAGCCGCTTTCCCTCAGCCCCCCTACCTAGGGCTAACGTCGAGCCCCGGGCCCCGCCCTTCAGCACGCACCAGCCGCCCCCCGCCCAGCTCTCGCGCGCGCGCACACACACGCACGTGGGAGGGAGGGACCCTGGAGAGGCCAGGGGCGCACGAGGAGTGAAGTCGAGGGGCGGCCGGTTCTCTCAGGAACACGGTGCCACGCGCCCCCTCTCACCCCCGCCCAGGGCCCGGACGGCGGCTCCTCAGTCGCACGCCCCCTCACGCCCCACAGCCCCTCGGCCCCGCCGGTGACCCCGGGACCCGGCCCGCCCCCTCCGAAGGTGAGCCGGGAGCTGCGAGGAGGAGGAGGAGGAGGAGGAGGAGGAGGAGGAGGAGGAGGAGGAGGAGGAGGAGGAGGAGGAGGAGGAGGAGGAGGAGGAGGAGGAGGAGGAGGAGGAGGAGGAGGAGGAGGAGGAGGAGGAGGAGGAGGAGGAGGAGGAGGAGGAGGAGGAGGAGGAGGCCGCCCAGGGCGCCAGACCCCGCGTCCTCAGGGACCCTTGGGCCCGGCACACGCAGGAAGCAGCTCGGTCCATCTGCTTCTGGAAAGCGAATAAAGTCAGGCCGAAGCCGCGCTGGTGAGAGGCGGGTTAGCTGTACTCCCGCGAGGACTTGGGGAGCCCTGCGGAGGGGGGATGCCCGCACACACCTGAGGCGGAGCTGTGCGTGTCCAGCACGCGACACCAGCCGGCCCTGGGCGAGAGACGCGGGAGGGGACCTGTGGACAGGAGACTCCCCCTGTCCCCAAACCGAACCACACCCACCTCCCCCCAAAGATCCTGGAAGCTCAGGATGTGCAGTGTCAGTCCTAGAAATTCTAGTCAATTCTAGAAACAGAGACGTTTTCTTCACCGAGAAGCCCGTTTGACATGACTGTTTCAGTCACCTAAGCTACTACCTGAAGGAAGTTCCAATCCTCTCTGCTTTCTATTCAAAATAATCTAAAAAAAAAAAAAAAAAAAAACCCTGCAGGAAAATATAGCTGCTGTGTATTATGCTGTCTAGAATAGGCAAGTCAGAAAGCAGGAACTCTATAAGATTCAGATATTAAAATATGAAAAACGCCTTCTTTGAGGAAAGGAAGAGAAGCTGGAACAGTAATTTGTTGTGCTGTGTTACTGATGAGAATTTCTTAAGTCCAACGTTTGGCTTTGCCTTATTTTCTGAAGAAAAGATCTCATTGATCTCTCTTAACTGTGTGTAACATGGTTTTTAGCAACAATGTTTAAGAGCAAGGTCCCTCACCCCAGATCTTGAAAGTCACAGGGTGCAAAGAGAATCTAGTCTTACAGTTGAACATCATGATTTTAGCATTCCCTCACCCCCACCCCCCATTTTATTAGCAGAAGTGCTAGCTAGCAGATTATTCTCTGAGGTATTCAGGGCACATTCGCTGCCTGGGACTTGAGTCACCAGGCTGTAGTTTCTGCTCTTTGCACGTGGTCTCAGCACCTGACTGCTTGGAGCTGCCTGAAATTCAGTTAAGATAATGTGCAGCTGGTTCAACATAAGCTTTCATCTTCTAATCCTTGCCATTCTGTTTTCCAAGCAGTTAGCTCTGGTGAGATCCCAAGGATATCTTTGTTAGTGGGAGGAGGAAAGAGAGACAGAGATTTGAGTATTCTTTAGTTTTCACTTGGGTATTATGCAAACATAATGGCATCCGCCTTTTTATAGATGAAAACGGGTATTGTGAAGAAGACATCCCATTGTCCCTTGAATTGATGTATAATTCAAATGTAGGAATGTGTGTCTTTCAAAAACTGATTTCAAAACCTTCATTAATCACCCTGTGAGAATTATATAGCTTAGTGCTAGTTTACATAATTGTAAACTTACTTTTGATCCATTCACCTAAAGCATCTACTTAGGTTTTCCTGTTTCCTTCTAGTCTTTGTTCATATATTTATATCTGGCTTTTCTTTGTGCTGTGTTTTTCTGTGTTGCAGGTCAATATAACCTTAATAGATTTTAATTCTACAAGTAGGGTTTTTGTACATGTTAAGGTGGATCCTCTGTGCTTCT